CTCTACACCGGGTCCACCCAACTTCTCCTGCACATTTTCTAACCAAAACTGGAACACCTTACTGCAGAAGGAGCGCCAATTCACTGAAATGTCTTTTGCAATGTCCAAGTTTTCGAACATTATCGAGGGCATTCCACGGAAGACGGAAGACGGTAATATTCCGTGTAGTTGGAGAAATTCTACTGAAGCCTCTTCATTCATTCGAAAGCTTCGTACATATTGATGAAACAATTTGTGCAATTCGACATTTCTGCAGTAGCGTGTAGTGTAGATGAAGATGTGAATAGTATTCGAATGAGCAAATAGACTGGCGTCAACCTTGCTGACATATGTCCGTCTCATGACTGGGGACCACAAATGGTGACTTTTTATACACGCAAATAACTCTTCTTATTGTTTCACTTGTTTCAATTTTGCAAAATCTGTCTCCAGTCCTTAGCTTTACGGAAGCGCATACTGATTTCTGCAAGGAATTACTGTAAAGGAAGTAAATAGGCCCGAACTTTATGACTCCGCCGCAAAGTGTACCGCAGTGAATTACTTCTAAATAAGCCGGTAATGGCTGATGAAAAACCGACAAGAAGTCCGATTTTTTTCTGGTCGTTTAAGGGATATTAGCGCTCGGGAAACAAAACCAATATTTGCCAAGGAATATTTTAAATTAATATACGATCTACAATAAAATGCTTTTGACAAAAAAAAATGATTTTACTATGTAACAACAATGTAATTCCGCAAACAAATCTATGGTTTATGTTACCAGACCTCATCTTATTGCACGGTGATGAACTATTTTAAATGCTGCCAATAACAAAGGAGAAAATGAAAAATAACTAACACCAAATCGGATATAGAATCAAAATTTTTTATTTTATTATTTGTTATGTAACTAAATACAATTGTCAACAATGCTTCTGTAAAACTTGATATTTCCTGTAATAAATTTTTAATAAATATTATTATTTTAAGTTTAAGGTAGTTCTACATTTACAATTCCTTGTGGCTAACCATGAAAAATGTTGATCAAAAGTCAAAACTTTTATTGCCGCAAAAATTAACAAATGTTGAATACGCCCCTCTCTCTCGCTCTCTGCCAAATGCGTCATATGATCATCTTTCTATTCTTTATCTTTAACATGCATGCCATCTACATCGTCATTGGCAAATGATGGGTTTTAACTGAAGCAGTAACATTTTCAATTTGAAGACTTTTTTTCTCTTCAAGAGTACATAAATTTTGGGTTAATTGATATTGTTTTTTTTTAAAAAAAAAACAAAACAACATTATCAGAAATGATAGTGTCGCAGCCGCCTTTGGTCGCTTCCTAAAGCGGAAGAGAACAGGGCATTTCAACCTTGACCTTTCGATTGTGTTCCCTACTCGCTGGTAATTTCGTTTTAGAGATGAGCTAATTACCTTTTAGTTCATTGGTATTATGAACCTAGTCGTAATATACCTCTAAGCATTTTTAGACCTTAGTTTTTGCGTAGCAAATCTCAACTCATTTTTTAAAGAGATTTTATAGCATTTTAGCGACACCATTTTTGTTGTTAGTCTCCCTTAGCATAAGACAGCGACTTCTCACCGAATTCCTGATCGGCACCTGAACGGTCGGTCGCAGGCTCCTGGCCTTTTGTGGCCAGGACGTCGGCCAGGGCTGCGTATTAATTTACGCTCCCATTTTTTTTTTGTCTGTCAACTGGACGCGAGTTGGATCTACCTTTCTTTCTCTCTTTACTTCGCCTTTTTACTTCTGGCTCCTTGCCCATGTTCGATTCTCGGCATTCCGTTCCTACTGGCTGCCCTCACGTCATCCATAACCTTTCCCGCACACTACGTTTGTAATTATTACGGGAGGTTTCGATATCGGACTCGACCAGCAGACACGCAACACCAGCAACGGATATGCCCAACAACATCGCAACGCTAGCTCCTCGTTCCTTCCCAACTCGTCCAGTTGGAAACCAGACCAGCAGCGATCACCTGCGACGACCAGCAGCAATCACCTGCGACGACTAACAGCGACCATCTGCGACGACCAATCAACCTTTCCCGTATACTATCGGTTGTAATTACTACGGGAGGTTTCGACATATATTGTCAGACTTTGTCCATTTCATAATGTGTGACGTCATTTGTTTACATTTGATACGCCATGAGCAGTTATGAATGTTTGTGAGAGATTCATGGCAGATTAAAGTTTATAAGCAGTAAATTCGACCTTGCCAACCGAACGATCCTTTGTGGTCGAGCAGTAAGGTATATGTCAGGCTATATGACGGTTCCGTATAGGTTACAGGTTCGTATCCTGTCGAAGGATGAATATTTTCTATGAAAATTTCTCGGACATTCAGGCCAGTAAATGTTATTTAATACTGTTTATTGTAAACAGAGCATTTACTTAAATACTTGTATCTATAAAAAGAATGTTAAACATAAAAATGTTTTTAAATATAGAAGTTGCTAACTAACTCTCCCCCAAAAAAAAAAAAAAAATTACAATAAAAAATTCCTCTAATGGAATTGAATAAGAAAGGCCCAAAATACAGAAACTGGTTTCGTTTATGTTTAAAAAATAATTATTTTTTTAAACCAATCTGGTAGGAAGACTAAATACAATTATTTCTTTGTGAAACGTAGAATATTTTTTTATACTCACTGCCACAGAAACGCGATAAGAGTTTCGGAACTGTCAAAGAAACGCGATACCTGCTGAGGTTTTAAATGAATTTTTAAAAATGAAAAATCTTTCTTGAAGCTTTTAATTACAAGCTAATTAATAGATTAAATTTATTTCCAATAAGCAAAAAAATACTTTTCTGTATTTCAAAAGTAATTTAGAAATTGACTGGAAAGTGTTCTCGTTTTGAAATAGTTAAATGGCAGATTTTTAACCATCACAATGTAATTCACTTGTCTAAAAAATCTTCCAAAAATAAAATATACTTTTCTGAAACTTTATTTAAGGAATATTAGCCGATTTAAAGTTTAATTAATCTGATTTGAAATATTTTAACATGGTGGTACAGTGTAACCCGGATATAAGAGAGTTGTCAGGACCGGAGAAGAAGTCTCTTATATCCAGGTTTCTCTTATATCCGGGTTTGGTCTATTTTGTTTAGGTAAGTATGGGAACACTTTGGGACCAGAGAAAATCTCTCTTATATCCGGGTTTCTCTTATATCCGGGTCTCTTATATCCGGGTTACACTGTAGCTATTTATTTAAGGTGTTGACAGCTTGGCAGAGGAAAGTTTATCTAGATTTTTTTTTTCCTACGGTGGACACATCTGCAAAATTTACTTGAGGAATATAACGTGAATGCCTTTTTTATATATTTTTTAACTACCCAGTAATCTTAAAAATCTAAGAAAATATTCTCCGTCTTGTAAATTTTAATTACTTTTGTTTTAAATTTACTGTATCTATCACTCTTATTTTCTGATAATGTTGTGTATTTACAAAAATCGGCAAAAAAATTCTAAATTCTCTTTAGAATATTGGGGATCGATGAATTGTACTAAGCTTTTCCATTTCTGATCAATAAATATAGTTTTGACTTAATAACAAACTGAATTTAAATTGATTGTAATGAGTTTTCTATTATCTGTAAAAGTGCTAGAATCACCCATATTGACAAACCTGTTAAAACAACTTAATTCTAATTATTGAAAATCTTTCAAAAATAAAATATACTTTTCTGAAATTTTGTTTGAGGAACATTAGTTGATTTAAAGTTTAATTAATCTGATTTGTAACAAATATTACTTTGTTTTATTTTAAAATATTGCACAAAGGCATTTTTTAACATGTTGATGTGGGTGTTTTTATGAGGCATTGACAACTTTTGATAAACTTGTTGGGGATTTTTTCTAAAGGAGACCTAACTGAAAATTATTTGACAAATATAACGTGAACGCTTTTTTTATATACTTTTCTTAACTACCAAGTAATCTTAAAAATTTAAGAAAATATTCTAAGCAATCTATTATTTTATTAAATTTTATTTTGACTTTATTGTCTTACTTATGAAGATGCTTGTTGTGGAAATGTTAGAAAATTACCAATACATTTTAACTTTACTGTAGTTATCACTCTTATTTTCTGATAATATCATGTTTGGACATCCATATCTTCAAAAATCTATCAGTTTATATACACAAAATAAATTCAAAATTCTTTCTAAATATATTGGTGTTTTTCCATTTATGATTCGTAAATACAGTTTCAATATCTTTTGACTGCTACAAATTAATACAGAATTTTAAAAGTTTATAAATAATTCTAATTAAAATATTTTTTTAAATTCTTGTAAAAATTCATTATTCATTGAAAATATATCTTCTTATTCATAAAAGCAATTGAAAGCTTTTATAATTAAAAAATGTCTTGGTTTTATTGCATTTTTTATTTTATAATTCAGAGAAGATTTTTGGTTACTGGGAGTCCTGCTTTATAAAAATATTTGACAATTTATATTCTCCGAGGATTTGTCCTTGTAACTAACATAAACATTAAGTGCTACAAGAAAAGAATTTCTTGAAATTTCATAAAATTAAATAAGTGGACATTAACAGATGCCAAAAAATATATATATGTATTTTTACAAAAATTTTCTAAAAAGAAACCCTTCTAAAATAATTTAATTCATTTGTGAATATGTCCTGAAAGTTTCATTAAAATCCAACAATTATTTGATTTTTGCAAGAATTTCCAAATCTGCATTTTTGCACTGCAAAAGATGCTCAAATTTCCTATACTAATTTATGGTTTACGGTTGACATTGGAGAAACTAAATTTCTAACCAAAATTTCAAAGGTTCCAAAAAGGATTTAAAAAAAAATTTTACATCAAAAAATCCTTTGATTTTTTTTTTCCTTTTAATATTAACAAACATATTGACAATAAAACTTTTTTATCATATATGCTCATTTTTACTGAATCTTTGGTGGTACCTATAATAATAGGAAAATATTTAAGAGAAAAAATATAATAGATTTACAGCCATATCACGTTTCTAAACTGGTTCTCATATGAACACCAAAGTTAAGCAAGTCAAGCCTGGTCAGTACCTAGGTGGGTGACTGCTTGGAATACCAGGTGCTTTAAGCTTCGATGTGTGAGTGATGTAATCAGCAGAGTTCCAATACCTGCTGGTTTTGTTGTCTTCACTTATGTGCAAATACCCTTGGGAAAGGTATGAATACACCTTTTCTCACCCTGGCTCTGGGGTAACTAGTAGAACTTGTATTAGTAAAGAACTTATAATTTTTACTGATACAGCTAAAAAAAATTATTACAATCTAAAAATATTTTCTGGTTTTAAATAACCTACAAAGGGTTGATAAAACGTAAAAAACAATTCAATAAATTAAAAAAAAATGAAATAAAGTAATATTTTTTATCCATTTCATTTATTCTTTTTCTTTCTTTTCTAGTAATTTGGTATTTATTCTGTATATTTATTTTCAACTATTTGATGTGATAAAATAATTAACTTCACTAAATCTGAACATTACAGAAACTTATATAACAATTTCTGTATTTAATTATTCAATTATAGATTATTCATTACTTGCTTTCTTGCAAACAAATAAGGAATTGAAATTACTCTGGAATTAGCCAAACTCCAACTTACATTTAAATTTGGCTTCATTAGTACTACTATTTATATGTAGTTGTATTCAGAGTATTTAAGCATACAGACTGACTTACTATTTAGAAAAGATAAACTTTTGTAATTAAATGTTAGAATATACATGAGGGAAGAGGAAAAAATACAAAACTTAAAAGTACTTAGACTTGCAAAATGGAGACGATAGTGAGAAAGAAAGTGAATATAGCAAGAGAGAAAGAAAGAAAAAAGTATATATATATATATATATATATATATATATATATATATATATATATATATATATATATATATATATATTTTCAAGCATGTTTGGTTAAATAATTTAGACATATTATGTTTTATTTATTTTAGTTTTAATCCTTTCAAGTCTACAAATTAATTTCTTGGTGGCTGTATTCATTTTGAATTTACAGTGTTAATGCATAACACATCCATAGATATTCAACCCTTGAAGATGATCTCAGATGAGATTGAAAGTTCTTGGGAAAATAAAAATTATTTGAAAGAAAATTTTGAAATTTTTCTTGATCAGTTTTCTACAGCCACCAAGAAATTAATTAGTCGACTTGAAAGGATTAAAAATAAAATAGACATAATACATCTAAATTATTTAACCAAATATGCTTGAATGAAAATATGCTGTATGCATGTACATATATAGAGAGAGAGGGAAAGAGAGAGAGAGAGAGAGAAAGTGAGTGAGTGAAGTCAAGCAAAACAAAATGACATATAAATATTTAACATTGTTTTTTTAAATCAATTCACCTCCAGCAAGGCGATAATGCTACTAAGATGCAAGGGGCTACTGGGAGTGAAAGAGAATGAGAAAACTTTAGAAGGAATCAGAAACCCAATCCTAAACAGGAAACAACGGATAAACCTCTACTCCTGTTTAAAGGACCAGGGAGGAGTGTGAACTGGACGATAGGTGAACCTATCTAATGCTATTAGGTGATATGTTCTGCATTGTTTGATAATAATGTAAGTTTCTTTTGTCTCTGCAATATAGACATACCTTCCCACCTAGGAACTTCCTCTACCATCTGAAGAGGGCTAGGATTAATCCCTAGCAACTGAGGTATGACCAAAAAGGGGAATTGCCAAAGAGGTTGGACTATTTTTAATCTTTGGACTTATGTATGCATGGAATACTGAGTTCCGTCCTGGTTAAGATGATAAACAAAATCTGCATCCTGGGTAAGATGATAAACTACATCCAACAGCAAGGCCTCTGATCAGGAGGTTTTGAGGAGTGTGGAACTACTTCTTAATTGCTGGTGTTCCCATGTCCACCCTGACCCGGGGTGGTAACACCTGTTAGGGTCCCAACTATGGGTAAATAGTTAGCCCACAAACTGGGGTCAAAACACTATGTAAGTGTAAAAATAAGTTTTAATACCAGAAATACTTTATAAAAAATATTCATATCTGTCTTCTTATCTAAGTCTGTTCATTATCTACCTATTTCCATCTGTTCCTATCTATCTATTTATCTATTTCCATCTGTTCCTATCTATCTATCTATCTATCTATCTATCTATCTATCTATCTATCTCTGTCTGTTCCTATCTATCTATCTCTATTTGTTCCTATCTATTTATTTATCTATTTCCATCTGTTCCTATCTATTTCCATCTATCTATCTATCTATCTATCTATCTATCTATCTATCTATCTATCTATCTATCTCTGTCTGTTCCTATCTATCTATCCTTCTCTGTTCATAGCTATATATCTATCTATCTCAGCTTTTTCCTTTTCTAAGTCTGTTCATTATATATCTATCCCTCTGAGTCTGTTCATTACCTATCTATCTCAGTTATTTCATTATTGACCCCAGTCTGTTCATTTTCTATTATCGCCATCTATTTATATCTATCTGTCTATCTCCATCTGTTCATATCTGTCTATCTCAGTCTGTTCATTTTCTGTCTGTTTGAATCTTCAGTTTATCTATTTATCTATTTATCTATTGATCTATCTATCTATCTATCTATCTATCTATCTATCTATCTATCTATCTATCTATCTATCTATCTATCTATCTATCTCACTCTGTTCCTTATCTATCTTCCGATTGTCCAGCTACTCTCATTTTCTGAGCACATCAATCTGCTAGTGTGGCTAACTAATCCCTGTCATAGACAACCAAAATTGCCACCTACTTGTATCACCTTCTTAAACTGATAAAATCTCGAAGTCACCTTCTTGACAAAGATGTGACAATTTAATTCCCAGAATGACACTGTAAAAGTTTGCTTACCTGGTCACTGTTCGGTGCTGTTGCTGTCAACTTACTCTACTTGTGAAGCTGTGCACTTTGTGAGATGATGGTGCCATTGTTGAAAATATTCTTGGAACTTGTTTTTTGAATTACCTTTCATAAATATAGCCACGTGTTGGTTGCAACATGTCAGGAGTATTAACAAATCTTTGTCCTTTGAGGGCATTTTTTTAGTGCATTGAAGCATGAAAATGACAGTCATCATACAATGATGATACCTATATCCACACTCTCTCTACATTATATATATATATATATATATATATATATATATATATATATATGCATAAAAATTCAGATATAAATAACAAATATCTAAAAAGACAATACGAATAAAGACAAAAGGAAAATTATTCTTTACTAATGAATTTCATCCTCTGATAGACTTTATCAAGCCAAATATAAGGATTTTATTTTACAAAAAGTATTTATAAACAGAAGTAACTATTAACAACAAAACAAAATGTCCTTAGCAACTGGAAGAATTTAGAAAACACTATTGTATTCATATTGTCAACTGAAAATTACATCAAGTACTGTCATGTGTAGAAATATTGTTTTTATTGTTCTTGATGGATTCAACCATTTCCTTTTGATTTCTTGATACAGTTGTGTACATTTGCTTGGGAGAGCAGTAATTCTGTTAAGAAAGGTGATATTGGGAAAAGGCCTGGCTTTTGATTAATGGCAGCACTCTTGAGGAGTTTCCTTCTGAGTGAGTTATTTTCTTTCTTTTTTATGAGTGTAGCATTTTTTAAATCAAAATTGTGGTTGGATTTATTTCTATGTATAACTAGTGCATTAATTAGCTATATTATTATCAGCTAATAATATAGTTTTCCTATTGTCTTTTACTTTTTATATATATATATATATATATATATATATATTCATCCAAATGAAGAGAAAGAATGAACAAATTTAGAATCCACAGTTCTCTAACATTTACTTTTTTAAAATGTGCTCAATACAAATGTAGAGCATAATATTTTAATGATATTTTTATTAAAAATATTTTACATTACGACACGGAAATTTCTATGTCTCAAGACTTAAAATTTTTATCTTGTCATCAGGCAATGTTCAATAACTTTTTGATGAAAATGATTTACATTTGAAAATAGAAAACAATATATTTGCTTATTAAAGAGTTAAGATGGAGTAGGGGACCCAGATTTTAAAATCTTATGGGTATGTCTCATTTAACTCATCAAAAGAAAAGTCAAATCTAAATCAGAAAAGTTAAAAATATAGGTTAGGTGTTGGTGGGGGTATTCATACATGTCTTGGGGATCTATCATATTATGCCTCAACAATATACTTCCATTTAAGAGTATACATTTAAGTTACAAAGAAATATTCTGAAAGATATGTATATCTCTAACAATAGGTTAATTTTTTTTTTTTTTAAATTATTATTTCATATACTTTAGATCTATCTTAAAGGGGTCTCTGGTATGATTAAATCATTTTTATATAATTTTTAACCTAAAATACAATTAAGTCTTATTCCAGTAATTTCCTTCTTCATGGCAATTTTAAAATTAAAAATCAAGGAATTAAATCAATATTACATGTACCATTTTATATAATAAAATAATGGATATATGATTGTGATACATAAATTTTTTATAAAAATTCACTTAACTATATTTTAACATGAACATTTTACAATGTCTACATATGACAGTAAGTTCATTTCGCTGGTTTAATAGATCATTATTTTTAGGAAACTTAATTATGTGTAGCTTTTCATGTAGACACAGGGGGCATGGGTTATTTAAGGGCTTACAAAATCTCATTTTTTAAAACATTTTCCATTTTACTATGGGAGTATTATTGATTTCTTTTAAATACCAAAAATATTTAGATAGGGATATTCAGTTACAGTACATGTTGTTGTTAAAGGAAGAAATATGTTAGTACCATCTTAATTTAAAAGACTTTTTCGTGCTACCAATATAAAATTTCATAATACCTGGGTTTTCAGTAGATGAAATAGTGCATTGATAAGCAATAGATTCTGTAAGACATTTATTTTCCAATGGCCACTTTATGGGGTTTCTACAATTACCTAATTCATTACCAAAATTATTGATTTCCGTTTTGGAATGACTATTATTTTTATTTAGGTTTAAGTGTTTATTTAAAATTTTATTATTATGTTTTTTTTTTATATTTTT